CAATGGCCTTCCCAAGGCAACCAAAACCAACCCAAGCATAGCTTTCCAACCCAAAGAAGTCGAATCCATAATCCCATGCAGAAAACCAACTATACTTTACCTAAAATCTGAAATCTCGAATTGATTTGACTCCCCGACATACCGCCCATACTATACCACTAGCAGACCAAAACCTCATTGATACGAAGACTTAAACAGAATGCTTCCAACCCTTGATTGACTTGATGCTTCAAAAGGAGACAAAATAATTAACCATTATTGATGCAGAACACTCATACTTGGCAAAAGGCTCAGATAATCCTTTGAGTAGAAGACTCATCCCTGCAATGGTTAGACTCAAACGAGAGCTATGCTACAGCGTCAAATTTCTTACTCTGAGATTATTTAACCCAAACTACAATTGACCTAACACATTCCCCACATGAGCGACTTCATACACAAGATCCAAATCGATAATACTGCCTTGACTTATCTTGATGCCCTTCACCAATAGAACCAATCCAAGACAAAATCATAAGAGCTTGATCTATCACCCACTACTAGAAAAACAGCCTTTTACGACGCTCATTGCGCGTCGTAAAACACTCAGACGACACGCAAATGCGCGTCAAGAAAGGCAATGTCATAAAGAGAGACGACGCGTGGTTATGACACGCAATGCGTATCAAGGAAGGCCCTGTCATAAAGGAAGACGACACGCATTTGCGTGTCGTAAAATGCGTGTCGTAACCTTATGACGCGCGTGTTTATGACACATAATACGTATCAAGGAAGCCCCTGTCAAGAAAGGCCATGTCATAAATGAAGATGACACACATTTTTGCATATCATAATTTTAAATGTTCTAAAAAATTATATATTTATATATTTATTAATTTTTAAATTAAATTTGCATTTAATGTCTCATAATAGAAATAAAGTATACAAAAAATACAATCCATTGCATAAAATTTAATGTCATACAATTCTATTTCTTAGAATATCTAAATTTGCATCTAATGTACTCTATACACCAAATTCCAACTAAGTAAAGTTGCATCTTGCCTTTCATAATTCTTTAAGACTATATGGATAAGCAGTTGTACATTGGCCCATCTCACTCATGAATGACTTAGCCAAATTCAACTCCAAGTCTTTACTGCATCTTGCTGATAATGCTGCAAGATTTGAATCAAGTAGCTTCATATTCCTTTCTTCCATCAACTTTACCTGACGCACAAAATACATGAAACAAACTACAAGGTCTTTATCCACTAAAATCAACAAAACATACAAATTGCAAACAAGAAATAAAACCTCAAATTTTGTTGCATCAAAGTTCAAACACATACCCACAAAGAATACTAGTTGTCCATGGAGCAAACCTTGCGATATTCTGCCCACACCTCTTTGTATTTATGTGCACATCTGGATTCTTCTCTTCTCTCTCGCCAGATCAGCAGAATCAGAAGATAAATTGGATAAAAATATGGAACTGTAGAGCTGCAATCACATGCTTCATATTATAATATCATATACAGTAGTTGACTTTTCAAGTCAAAACAAATAAATTTAAATTTAAATAGAATGGTATAATAAATAAATAAATTTAAATTTTTGCAAATTTACCTAATCACACAGGGTAAGCTGAAGGATAGTGCCAATAACAGATCTCCAAGGTAATTGCAGTGCCTTGCTATTCCTCTTCATAAATAATAATTAAAAAAATATATTATTGTGCATTTAAAAAGGTAGTAGGAATGAAACAAATAATGATTAGAAACTAAAATACTGATCAAATGTAGGTATGTCATGCATAAGAAAAGATATTATTATTATTATTGTAAAAATAAAACAGGAAAGGAAAGGAAAGGTGATTGCTGACCTTAACATGTGTATTAGGAACAAAAGCAGCTTGGTCCCACGTTGTAGCAGTTGATGTTATCCACCACTCCATCTTCTATGAATACCTTCACTTGGATACAAACTGTTTCGTGTGTTGAACCTTAGAAGCCAGCTATAAACCTGCTTCCATTGGTCCAAATGATGTGTAAATGACATATGGAACCATGGTATAATATTATAAGCAAATCTAGTTAGTGCAAATGTACTATCAGTTACTAGTTTATTACAGCATCCTACTTAGTACTTACGTTTCTTCCGATTACGACATTGTAAAAGTGAAAAAACTACCAAAACACAAAGCTAACAAAATAGATTTTTAGGTAGAAAGTATAACCTGGCAGCAGAAGACACGTATCTAAAACATTCTAAAAAACCTGCAAAAACAAAACATTTATTAAAAAATATATAAATATACAAAAAAAACAAGTTTTATTTTTTAGAAAATACCATGCCAGAGGTATTGCACATCTGTGCAAGCTCTTGACATAAAGATTTAGCAATATTATCTTGAACATTTCGTGCAAAATTTATGCAAATCCAGCTGGTGACTGTTCCACCATTGACCATTTTCTGTCAAAAATAAAGATCATTAGAATGCAAGAAATTTAAACACGTAAAAAAACAGTTAGTTATAGAGTTAGTGCTTCAACATAAGGATAAGGATCCCTTTCACGTCCTGTGTCATGGTATTTAAGCTAGAAAAGGAAGAAAAAAAAAAGATGGAAATACATCAAATTTTGGATAATTTTTATACCAAATTCCTTAGCATAAGGATCCTAGCTATAAGCATTGTGACTAACATTCTGCAAAAACAAAGCACATATTTATAGAGTTAGTTCTTCAACATTGCTTCAAATTTTTTTTTGTTCAGATTAATGGTGCCCCAGTTGGACTTCATCTCACTGAGTATATCTCCTGTAATGTTTAATTCAGTTACTTAGTAACAAATTAAAGATTCCCAATTTAAATAACCACAATTTATTAAACTAAAAAAATTATTACTCAAAATGAATCACCTTAGTATGATATCTTACATCATGAATGCGTTTCTCCTACTTCATACTCCAAATCTGAACAAATATAAATTTTCATTATAATTAGTGTTTCAATTTAAGTACAATATAGGAAAAAAAGATGAACATCTTAACAATGATGTAAACTACTTGTCCTCTGTCTAACAACAAACCTGATGCCCAGAAAAGATTTTAACAGGGTGATTTTCACCAATTACTCAAGACCAACATCTTAACAATGATGTAAACTACTTGTCCTCTGTTTAAGGATAAATTTGGAAGAATTTATTTCATCCACATCAGTGTCCATAGAATTCATCATTCATGAAACTTAGATAATATGACAGATCTGATGTGTGTGTGTGTGTGTGAGAGAGAGAGAGAGAGAGAGAGAGAGAGAGAGCATATATGAAGTGCACTTCTGCGAGGAACTTCCGGTGAGGCGCACCGTTGGACCAGAAAGCGATTTTATGAATGCAGAGTGATGTTCGCATTTTTCTCTGGATTGAGTCTTATTATAGTTGATTTTTTTAGGGTTACAGTTGATTTTTTTATCTTATAATGGTTCAAAAGTTTAGAAGATTTGTTAGATTTTGTCCAGTTATCCCGTTTAAAAGCCAGAGGTGTGATTTTTTCTGTTTTAAATTTTTGAAGATAATGAAGCCTCTGAAAGTATCTTGATTTGTACCATGGCTTCTTATCACTTGTTTGTTTTATTTGTTTCAGGATATGCAAACAGTTTATAGAGGATATGCAACCCATTAGTAATTATATATAATTTTTTTGAAACATAAATAATTAGTACTTCTTATAAAAAGTCAAGGGCATGCAATTGCATACCCTTACGACAGTGTAGATCCGCCCCTGGTTAGAACATCGATGATCATTTTAAACACCTGACAAGTAAACAAAGCTAGATTATAATAAACAAATTTAAAAAGATCACCTTTTAAATTTATTGTGATATTTGAAATTTCTAATTTGTACCAATTGGTTATTTTATGAAAAAAAAAAAAAAAAAAAGATTGAGAATCAAGGTACATACCATTGTAGATGAAACAGAGAGTACTTTAGAAATCCCATTTCCCCTAGTTCATAAACATAGAATAAAAAATATAGCAGAAACCGGAACAAGGTTAACTCTCTTATTAATTCATTTTTAATTTTTAATAAACTAAATACAAGAACTTGGTCAACTCACATGTACGTATTTTGACTTTTCGGCAGTTAATTCCTCGGTCAAGATTGTTAACCTATATAAGGAAAAAAAATACCATTTAAAAATTAAATTTATGTTTATGGACCTTTGGAAATGCTTAATTGATTATTTCAAAGAACACAAAATATTAATGCATAATAAACTAGAAAGGAGTGGAAGGAAGTAAGTCATGAACATACAGCTCCATTGTTCTCAGAGCTGCGAGGCAATAGTGGCAATTTCCCATTTTGAGAAGCTTAAATACAACCGGACAATGTATTTTACAACCATATTAAAAGGTTAAAAATGAAAGAAATGGAAATGGTATAAATCATTATAATCATATATATCTTGTTTAAAAAAAAAAAAAAAAAAAAAAAAAAAAAAAAAGACAAGTCTTTTCAGAAAAACCTTAAGTTTCTCAAGTAATGGTCAAATCAACTTATGTTAGAAATGATTACTCACTGCCACTGGACCTCTTAAAAAGCATATGTTAAAACTACAAGGAGCCCAAAAAGATATACATACAAACTGCAGCCAATAGAGATAGAGGATTAGACCTGTGAGGACAGATTGGAACAACAATTTGAGGGATTTGGTACTACAACAGACTGTTCAGCACCTGCATCCTCTGTTTCTGCAATTTTTTCACTAAATGGGTCACTTTGACCCTCTAATTTTTGGCCTTCAGCACCATTCACCCAAATTTTAATCATTACCTGATAAGTAAACACATAAAGAGCATATAATGTGAACAAATCACCAATTCACGCTACAATCATCAATAGAATCCCATCAGTTAGTCTATGTATGTATGTATGTATGTATGTATAATCAAATATCTAGCTTACCTTCAATTTCTCACGTCTGATAATTCTTTCACAGATGAGACGTAATCTTTCCAATTAAACCTGCATGACGATTTTAAGAAAAAAATTATGATTTTGGATTCAAATAATGTTTTTATAAACAACAATATAACTTACCCTGACTTTCTTCAGAGAATTCCATTCTTCAACTCCATGTTTTTGAGTCCTGGCCGAGAATAAACAACAAATAAAGTATTGTGAGAAACTAGTATCATATTTGATAAAAAAATAGAAGCAGAAAAACAAGAAGGTTGACAGTGATTAATGTTATGGTAAATAATAATAATAATAATAATAATAATAATATATCACCTCATAAGTAAGAATCACCGTCAAAGAATATTACCTCAGCACAGGAGGCATGGACCCATTGACCATCAGTTGACTTCCTAAAAGCACCAGTATTGCCACCACATAACTGAAAGATGGGACCCCCTGTTTCTAGAAGATGGTGAATCTTCACATGACTCACAAAACCATGGACCTGTAGAATCTTTCAGCAAACCGATTCACTGTATTACCAAAATTGTTCTCCTTTTGGCTACCCTTCTTCCCTTTTTCCTCTTTTTTCCCATAATCCACACTCTTTTTCCCATTATGCCCCTGCTTATCCACAATGAAAGATTTATTATTTGCAGCAACAAACTCCCTGGTTCTTTTGATGATTCCAATGGCTAACATCCCCCCTATTCCAATTTGCACTATTACTTCTGTTATTCCAACATTTATTACCCTTATTACCACTATTACAACTTTCTCTTTTGTTATTCCCTCCATTCCAATTACTACCTTTGCTTCCAGAAACATTGGGCTGAATATCACCTATACTGTACCCCTTCACAGTAGCAGTCCCTGCATTTCCATCTTTTTTCATGACCATAGTTTACCCCTCACCATCTTTATCAATCAGATCCTGAATATCACTCTTGACAGCAACATTTTTCCAATTTATAACAGCAAAACAGATAGAATCATCATTCCCATAAACCAACATTATTCATATGACTCTTCACTTGATTCATATCAGAATTAGGGCTAGAAATCACAACTGCATCCTTAGGAATTTCCCAATTCTTATATAAGTTTGCAGTGTTACCTGAAGGAATAGAATCCTCATGAATGATCGGAGGCAAATCCTTGGTCACTTCATCCATAACATTGGAACTAGAACCCTTGATCGAAGCTTGACAAGCAACCCTAGAAGCACTGGAATCGGATTCCCACACACCATCAGATTCCGATACATCCTCCCTCTCTTCTTCTGTAACATCATCCACATAGTAATCATCAACATCCATAGGATTTCTGAGAAGAGAATCACCCCGATTAGGATTCCTAGCTTTATGCAAACCCTCCAATTTCCACTCCGCTTTCCCAATTCCCGACACAACAGCTCCAGTAGCACTTGGCTTTCGTTAGGCATGGTAGATAGTAGACGAACACTGATCGATAACCCCAAGAGGAATAGCATCGTTTAAATCGACCTCAATCCGCACAAATCGACCCACCGCTCCTTTATCAGGAGGCTTAACCTTTACATCCTTCAATCGATCATGCTTAGAAGAAGCTTCCATCGCAACAACGAAAATGATGAGAAGATACTTCAGCAATGAGATGAAAAGGGGTAGAGAGAAGTCGTACCAGGTTTTAGGGTAGAGAGAGAAAGGGTAGAGAGAATTTTAGAGAGAGAAAGCATTTTTTTGTACCTTGAAATTTCTTAATCCCCTTCTTCAAGTCGGCCTCAAACTTCTCCTTCTGATTTAGATTGCCAGTATCGTATACCTAAAATACGAAATTCAACACGCGAACATGAAATTTCAGCATTCAAATTACACAAAAACCAATAACGTCAATAATTCAAAGAAAATTAAAAAAAAATTACGAAGAGGCCTGGGAGAAAGGATTAGGAGAAATCGTACCAGGTTTTAGAGTAGAAATCAAACTAGTTTCGATTGTTGCAGAGGCCTGGGAGAACCGATCAAGAATCGGAAAGCGTTTTAAATTTTCTTGAAAAAGCCCTATGTGTGAATGAAGGGAGATACAGAGGAGAGATCGAAGAAGCGGGCACTTCAAGTTTTTGCCCTTTAAAAATGCGCGTTTAATAAAAAAAAATATAAAGCGACATTTTTAGAGGACACACGTTTAAAACAAGAGCCCTCCGTGTTTGTATTTTTTTTTTTTTTGGACATTAATTTTAAGGCACGCGTGTCCTTTATCCTTCAAATTTTGGAAGGCTGACATTATTTTTAGGGACACACAAAATTGCGTATCGTAAATCAGCGAGTGTCATTGTTTGCGCGTCATTAAAAGGTATTTTTCTTGTAGTGACCAAAACTGAATCCATTCCTTACCCTTGAACCCTTCGATCGATGTCCTTGGCATATAGATACCCTAAATTCTAATCCCATGTAAAGAAAATCTTGTACATAAACACTCGTGATTCCCAACTCACGATCTCACCCAAAAATCCAACCTGATACTTAACTCATAACCCGAAATCCACGAATGTGCACATGCATTTCACCCAAAACCTTCCGATTCACAACAACCCCTCACTAGACTGAGATATAAAGGTTCCCACCCATCGCTGAGACTACCCGTCTCGCACCTGGTCCAACCACCAGGTTCCCAAGAGTCCAAATAACAAGGCTACCCAGCCTATAAATCCCTCTGCATCACACACTGACCCCCCACTTAATCTTGAAACTCAAGATCCAAAACCTTCACCCAACGGTCTCCACCAGGTCCCACCTGCCATAATTACATGGGCCTCGCCTATAGGTCCCACCCAATTATACCACAGAGTGGCCTCGCCCACGTGTCTACTCGACTAGAGATACATAAGCCCAACTCCGCCTCAAACCCCAATGGTCCTCAACTCAAACAGAGAAATACTCCTCATTAGTCATGGCCGGTGCGCCCAAGGCAAGACTAATTCCTCCTTTACGCTCATGACCACCTCCAATGATAGTCTACCTCGAACTAGTGAATGCTACAATCCCATCGCAGGCTTACAACACTTCTAACCAACCATGGATACCACTCATAGCCTAACCACACCCTATACATCACAAGCCCACGAATTTAGAGCCAAAACTTGCATCTAATCAGGTGTTAGAGTCATGCTTCGAACCTCAAAGCCTTCATTAAACAAGAAAAAGTAATAAGGCTCTAACACAACCCTCATCCTAGATCTATCCGCAAGCCTGCTATGCATAACAAAGAAGGCGCCGACCAGTTGTTGGAAACTTCTTGGACTTCCAACTTACACAACTTCAATCCAGACGACCACTTGGGTCGTCTCTCCTCCTGATTGGGTTGCGAAATTTACCCTAGTTTCACACCCGATCCAACTCCCGTAATTTCTGATTGATACAACCCCACTTAGACTCGACGAAGCTTTCTCATTCCTTAAATCTGAAGGATTCCCAACCCATCAACATTTTATAGTATGAACTGCTTATAACTTGCGTTAATCAATACTAACACTCCATTACAAGCCACACTCAAAGATACCCCCACTCCTAAAATCCTGGAGAATGCCCTTGAAATCTTAACTAGTGTGATAATCCAAATTACCTCCCATGATACCATACCAAATCCTTTGGTTCTTATGTTGGCTACTACAAACCACAACCCTTGCCTTGTACCGACGAACATCCACCCCTAACTTCTGTTCTCAAAGAACCACTGAACTCTAACCGTCTACAACCCATGCGAATGCACAACTCCCTTGACAAATCCAATGACCAACAACTCATGCAACTGACATCACTATCTTCCTACTACCGCTCCTCCCCAAGCAACAGTAAGGTTTGAACCCAAAAGTTCTTTCATAGACGACTGCAAATCCCACCATATCAAAACATAAAACAACTTAACCCTGACTTCCACTGGAGAACTAACCCGCTAATCCTGACCAAAGATCCTCCAAGCAATACCCCTGAATTGATCCTGACATAGACCCAGATCAGCAACTGAACATGCCGAAATCCGCTCAACAAGATACGACCCTCTATTGATTCATTGAAGACTCTCGGCATGCAGAATGGCATATAACAATCCTTGATAACCCATACAATAGTAGAGAACTAACCTTAGATATAACTTATTCAAACCCAATCAAAAATCCAAAGCAATACAAATTCCTGATAACCACCTTGAAGAAGCAGAAGATAACAAACCCACAAAACATCTAAAGGAATCCTGACCTCCTCCTCCTGAGTTACCCCGACCATCCTGAGGACATGGTGCAAAACTCGTCTCTAATACCAAATGTCAAGATCCAACAATAGTATCGTACTTTGTAAAATCCTGGAGAATGCCCTTGAAATCTTAACTAGTGTGATAATCCAAATCACCTCCCATGATAACATACCAAATCCTTGGGTTCTTATGCTGGCTACTACAAACCACAACCCTTGCCCTGTACCGACGAACATCCACCCCAACTTATGTTCACAAAGAACCACTGAACTCTAACCGTCTACAACCCATGTGAATGCACAATTCCCTTGACAAATCCAACGACCAACAACTCATGCAACTGACATCACTATCTTCCTACTACCGCTCCTCCCCAAGCAACAGTAAGGTTTGAACCCAAAAGTTCTTTATTAGACGACTGTTGATCCTACCAGATCAAAAGATAAAACAACTGAACCCTGACTCCCACTGGAGAACTAACCCGTTAATCCTGACCAAAGATCCTCCAAGCAGTACCCCCGAATTGATCCTCACATAGACCCAGATCAACAACTGAACATGCTGAAATCCGCTCAACAAGATACGACCCTCTAATGATTCATTGAAGACTCTTGCCATGCATAATAGCATATAACAATCCTTGATAACCCAGACAATAGCAGAGAACCGATCTGAGATATAACTTATTCAACCCCAATCAAAATTCCAATGCAATACAAATTCCCAATAACCACCTTGAAGAAGCGGAAGATAACATATCCACAAAACATCTGAAGGAATCTAGACCTCCTCCTCCTGAGTTACCCCCACATCCCGAGGACATGGTGCAAAACTCGTCTCCAACACCAAATGTCAATATCCAATAATAGTATCGTACTTTTCGAAAAATTCTAGAGATCCACAAGCTTTGGGCTCCAGATGAACCCCCAACTGCCCTGCTATAATCTTGGCCCGAAAGGCCGCGAGACGACCATCCAAGAACTTTAAATTTCCTACCTTGACTGAACCAAAGACCATCGGGTCCATACTAAGATCCCGCAAGTAATCTCCAAGGAGATGAATTCCCACGTTCGCGCATTGATCTGCTTAGTACCTGCTACTAAGTCGGGACCAGAATTCGAACCCCATACTTGAGTGCTCAACACGATATAGAAATCAACATGCAAGAGATCCGAATATACCCAAGAATCCTTATCCTACAGGCTTCCTAGATTCTCCAAGACTCTCCCCAATTCGAGTATGGATCTTGTGCTTTTAGTAGTACGATACCAATACTACCTCCTACACCTATCCATACTTTCCTCACGAATCCTCCCGAATCCTCTAAGTCACCTTCTCAAATCCATACACCAAACACTCCCTAACCAGCGCAACGAAACCCATTGAAGCAAACCCTAGGCCTTCCTAGGTTCCCAACCTCACCCTGCCATCATCTGCTGAAGAACTCCCCATAATGCCAGTCACCCACCTCATGGATACAATCATATGAAACAAAGCTTAGATAATCCTTCGAGTAACAGACTCATCCCTATAATGGTTGGACTCAGACAAGAGTTGGGCAATAGGTTCAAATCCATCACTCTGAGATTATTCAACATTTGTCACATATGACTTCACATATTCACGTAGTAGCTAACTCCCATTACCTAAGAGTTCCACAAAGCACAAAGCAAACAACATTCGTGTAGTAGCAGTCCAATCCACCGACTAATCACAAGCATCCAATCCCACATATTGCAACTCATACTAGGAGCTCCCACTCCCGCTACTAATTACCTCACACATACAAACTATACTTAATCTAGCATCCCATGCTTCATAGGCTAAAAGGCATCACATATCAGGCCCACCTATCATTGGATAATCAAAACTAGCATGCAAGTCTACAAGCTCATACAATCGGCATACAAAGACATATCTCCTAGCATTCTACCATGCAAAACTAAGCAGGTCCTTAGCCTTAACTAGCATGTCATTCACAGATTCACAGATCAAATCATATCAGATAACATGTATGGATAATTTGGGAGAAACTTACTTAAGCTCAGCTGATTACATGCACCACACCCTTTCTTCTTTTAGAAAAATCTCTTTCTAAAATATATTTATTTTTTAAAAAACTTTAACAAATCCTCAGTTTGAGTTCATACACACCCGAGAGTGTGCCCGAATCCCTCAAACCAAGGCTCTGATACCAACTTGTAACGCCCCAAAAATAATGACATAAAATTTCATTTTTAAATTAATAAATCATTAATACATATCATTTCCATAAAACCAAGGTAGTCAAGATTTAGCAAAGCATCATTAAATCAGAGTAAATCACATAATGCGAAAACATGCAGTGTATGCCCTGCAATCATCCCGAGCTCTTCCACTTTTTTGAAAATTGAATCACTTGAAACATAAACGGAAAACCGTAAGCACAAAACTTAGTGAGTTCCCCAAAATACCAAATATGATACATACAAATAACACATAAAGGGTCCCACCCTATCATCAGGCCCCGCCCGGCATCAGACCCCGCCTGACATCGGCCCCGCCCGGCATCGAGCCCCTCTTGGTAATAGACCGGGCCCCGCCCAGCATACATATAACATATATCAAGTAAACATACATATGCAATAATCACAAAGATACATAACATACAAAATGGTTATCGAGCCCCGCACAGCAAGCACATAAACACATAACACATACAAGAGTCTCGCAGACAACTAGCATACTAACATAGCATAAACATGGAACGAAATTGGTGCCTTCAACCCGCTAAACCCAGTGAGGAGACTCACCTTGATCGGATGATAACAAAATCCTTCACTCGTTGTTGCTGCGAACCGACTCCACACACTAAGCCAAGCCAGACTAGTCTAAATTAATAACTAGGGATAAACCCAAAACATAGTCCCAAAGATGGCCCAATCTAACCCAACCCACTAATGGCCTAAACAAATTAAGCCCACTAAGGCCCAAACCCAAGTTTGGCCCACTAAGGCCCAACCTAAACTCCTTAGGCCCAAACTGGGCTATCTAACTAGATAAGTCCGAACATTGCACAAAACAGAAAGTCCAACCCCAAAATCATGTCCAAAGAAAAAATCCCAAAGAGTCCACTGATGACCCAAACGTGCGACATTCCCAAGACAAACGCACGGAATTCCCGGCCAATGTCCAAAAATTGCACCAATGACTTAATACCTTAAGTCCAACGTCTAACTATTGAAAATAGCTTCATATTATTGACTTAACCCATAAAGTTGTCAACTTGTCACCTTTTCATGGTCCAAAAGGATCCAATCATGATTTCAAGCATTGCAACTCCATACAGAGGCGAAGATGCAAGCTTTTACCTTAAGACCTTAGTCCAAACTTCCAGATCTGATTCAAAGGGACTTCCTAAATCATAAAGTTCCTGACTTTATGACTTAGCAAGACTTAATGGGACCTAAATCAAAACCCTATGTCCCAAACTTTACCAAAAGACCACCAAAATATGCATGAAAGGTTTATACTCATCAAGATCCAAACTTTAAGACTTCATAACCCCAACAAGGACCAAATATGAAGCTTAAAGGTTTTGGAGTAACTTCTACTCATAAGAACCACCATAAAGGGACCAAAACCAACTAGCTAGATATACATGAAAGAATTGTCAAGGTTGAGACTTTATACATCCAGAAGTTAGATTTAGGTGAGCAAAGCATGGATCCAAAAGTTCTAAGTCAAGCTTTAACTCTTCAAAAAGTTCCTTCTTTGTCTTCAAGCACCAAAACACACAAAAATCACCATAAAGCTCAAGAAATATGCAAATGAGGGCTAGGGTTTCAT